ACTGAATAAAGAAACTGGAGAAACCAAAACACTCAAGATTGTGTGAAATGTGTTTCCTGTAATTATGTAGAGAAAATGAGTACCACTTTACAGATCTGTACTGTCTATGACGATCTACGTAAACGTTTTTATCCTGTCGATGTTTCACCCATCAACCTTGTATAAAATTTAATCGACTGATGAGTAAATTACTACTCCCCTCTTGTTTTAAGAAATCTTGCCATGTTTATAGGCTGCCAATGTATAACGTTACCATGGGCCGATGGCCTACATTTACACAGAATAAAGACTATATATTGACCACATTAATTGGAGCCAAAACTTAAAATAACCAGCATTAGAAGTGGAAAATGAACTTTCCATAACCTGTGAACCATCACGCCGATCAGATCATGCTTCGTTTTCCATTTGTCCACAGCTGACTTTATCATCTGACGTTACTTCTTTCTGTGGGGTTTATTGACAAATGTCGACTGTCTTCTGTTCTTGATCTGCCTGGCTGGAGCAGTATTCATCCTCTTCATCATCATTTGTCACGTGGTCTCTTTTCCGCGAAAGTGGCTTCCTTGTGCAAATGGAAACTGGTTTGCTTTTGAGCCAACGATTTATTAGGAACTACCACAGGGGAAAATACATTTGCATTTAAGATTCTTTACAAGTCTTTTGAAAAGCTCATGTATTTCCATATTTTAAGAATATAGCCAAACTCAGTCATCAATGCATAAGTGTGCCTCGTCAAATAACTGCCTTACTCTTTTGTACATTAACTTTCCACCTCTCTAAGGTGTACAAAAGGTGTAATATGTTCAGCTAACCTCACTGTCACAGAGGACTCAAGCCATATCCCGTGATTCATCATCATCAGAAAACGAGACCTTGGGGCTGGAAGTCCTCAGGTTTGTGCCTTTCCTTTCTGAACATTGTAGTGAGCTAATGAGTATCTGCACGGCTTTTCTTTTACTGTCAAGGACGGATTATCAAGCGAATGATGCTGTTTCTGCGCTCTCCCAGATCTATATACCTGTACTAAAACAACACATATTTACATAACAGAGACAACACTTCGTTGATCGTTCTCATTATCCATTTTAACCATGGTCTTCATAATGGATGGCGAAAACATCGTTTAACGATTAACGCATTAAGTAAAAGTTTGGCTTGGTGTGAAGTGCGGTCGCTTGTGTCCCCTGTAGTTATGGGAGCTACCTGTACGAGGGCAAGTTGGGGATTATCCAGGTTATACACCAGATAGAACATCAAATGTACCCAGTGAGCCATGTGTTGATAACTCATAATTCAGGCAGTTTTGGTCGTCGGTTGAATGACAATTAAGAAGAAGAAAATGTATTTACTTTGGAAACGAAATATGCAATGTGGCACACATTCTGCATGGGGTTCCCACTGGCTGGTTTTAAGGTGTAAGGACCTGCATGCAGGTTTATCAAGGGGCTGTTTAAGATTAGAGTTACGCATTGCAGAAAGCAGTTTAATGTTAGAATACATATTTAAAATAGGTAGCACTGTAGAACTATTTTGTATCTTTTATAAATTGGTATCGCTCTCTTTCAGCTTCAGAAGTGGCAAAGAATTACATCCACTGCTATGTATGTAATTTGGTTTTCTTGGTTTTCCGATATTTGGATTTATGTAGTTTCCGTTTATTTCTGGGCAAAGGCCCGTAGCTCCTGAGTAAATGATTACAGAATGGGTAAGTGGTACATGTATGTTTTGATGTACATGGTGTCTTAAAGTAGCCAAATCAACACATTAGTTGGTCATTTTGCTGCTCGCATACGTTTTACAAGGAAGTGTTGAATTGATGGACAAGACCTACATATAGATGGGATATAATGACTCCTAAGATCATCATAAAATGCTCACTGATTTGTCTCCAAGTTCTGAAAAACCGTTCCCAGTGGTATGAAATCGTTTTAGCAAACATTAGATGATGATAATTCAATTGACATAAATCATCATTACATAAATTATTGTTGTTACATATTGACATATTTCAAAGATAAAAGTGCTAAATATATTATTAGTGATTTTCGTGTGACTAAAGAATGAAAAACACACCTCTGGTCTTCAATTTGATTATATTTATTACCACTGGGGCATTCATGCAATATTTAAAACACAATCATGCACATTTAAAACACAATCAACGACTACGTAATTTTCGGATCATTACATTAGTTATAGATAAAAATGAAATTGAAACCACAAGTGTTGAATATTGTAAACAATATGCAAATTCAAGAACAAGTAAAAGACGTTTATTCAATATCAGAAGCCACGTGGTACATTACGTGATGTCACGCTTGTGCACAACGACAGGTGGGATAAATGTTATAATTATCTTCATATAATATTTATATAATACATAAATGAACAGGTTTCTTTTCAAATGCACCGCAGCGTTGTTAAAACGCTTCACGTTTTTGTTACTAATACCGGTACACCATGTGTTGATAACTCCTAATTCAGGTAGCTTTGGTCGTGACTTGAATGACAATTAAGGAAAATTTGTATTTACTTTGGAAACGGAAATCTTTAATGTGGGCACACTTTCTGCATGGATTCCCCATTAGCTGGGTTAAAGGTGTAAAGTAAAGCAGGTTTATCAAGGAATACTATTAGGATGATCTGGATTAGCTGCGTGTGTTGCTAATACTGGTAGCCTATGTATTGATAACTCCTAATTCAGGTAGGTTTGTTTGTCAGTTGACCATGACAATTAAGAACAGTTTGTTTTACTTTGGGGAACAAGATTTTTTAATGGGGACACTTTCTGCATGAAAATGCCCAATGGTTGGTTTGAGGTGTAAATATTTAGATGGATGTTAAATAAACTCGAGCCACAATGTGGAATATATTACAGCTTAGAGAGGTGGAAACATGTTGGGTGTATGGCATGCATTGTAGGATCCATGATTTGATCATCCTGGGTCCGTATGTGTTTGACGTGTTTTGGCGGATTTTGTGTCATATTGGTGTGAATGGAATATACACATGTGAGGTTTGGCTTCTTCTTCCATTCCGAGGATGTGAAGAGGATATAATTTTTCAGTTGGCGAACCTAAGTTTGTAATGCTGACACACGGATACACTTTCTGTGAACTCCTGACTGGCTGCGTTAAGGTGTAAAAGTGGAAGAAGAAGAAAAGAAGAAAAATATTTTATTTCAGTGTCACATGCTCTAAAATAAAATAAATTTAATAAAAATTACATAAAATATATTTATGCCAATATAAGTAAAGGTGGGAGGATCCGGCCTACGATACACTGAATTATTGTCATTAAAATACACATTATATGATTAAAATAAAGAGAGATAAGATAGAGGAGTAGTCTGTGGAGGCGAGAGAACGCGACTAAGGTTTAATATTTTGTCCTTGTCGAAACATTTAGCAGGTTATAAGTGAGGCAAGCTAGCTTGCACAATTCACTTGAGGTCTTTAGATGGAGCAGGCTGGTTAAATGGGTCACAAACTGGATGAAGAAGAGGGATCTCACGATCTAGTCTATGTTCAGCCAAAAGTTCATAATTCCTAAGTCTCGAGCCACAGTAAGCCCAGGATCATCAAGTGAGCTACAGGATGATCTGGATTAAATCTAGCGCTTGTAAAACTGAACTAATTGTTTGGTGGATGTAAACTGAAAATTAAGGGAAACGGTAAAAAGAATTGCATTTATTGTCCACGTTTCATGTCTCTGGTCTTATCTTTATAAAAATACCTAAACAAGCTGCTGCCCATACAGGAGCAGCAATTGTACACGAATTTCTTGTAGGCGGAAGCTTATGGTTGGTGTCCAAAAGTAGCTTCCTACTTGTCTCTGTTGTTCTAGAGAATCTTGTGGGTTTATCTCGACAGTTATTGCGTTTTACTCTTAAGGTGACGTGATATACATGTATAGCTTGGGTTACATCTCTAGTTGGCTTCAGTCAGAAGTAGAACTGTATGGATGTAAGATGGGTTTTATGCCATACCTTAGTGGTATTCAAGAGACAACAGGGCAACACAGTGGAGTGATGATTAATACTGTTTTTGAGAAGGATCAAATTACATTTGTATGGTGAATTCATTTTGTATTTTATATTTAATTTCAAAGCTTTTGAGGAGGCAAAATTACTACTCTCATATACTTACATGTTCAGTGTGCATTTTATGTGGTGGCTCCTAACCCCTGTATTCCTATATGAGAAGAAAAATACTTCCTCAAAAGGGGAGGACATTACAGCCCAATTACTGCTATCCCCAAACCCTCCTCACACAGATATTATCACTGAAGAAGTCAAGCAGCCTCACTTTGTCTTCAGAGAAGACTCCATAAAACTTTGTTTTCTTTTTACACATTGTTCTGAATCCCTGAAAATGGACATGTGCTATATATGTGATTACAACAAATTGTGACAAGGAATGCTTTTCCCCTCAACTTTCTGATGGGTGGTGCTGTACGAAATTCTCGTCATAAGATTCAAGCAAATACACTGCGTATTCAAGAATCCACATGATAATATTTCCACTTGTCTCAATACATTATGAGAACATGTTCTTTCCTTGATTTTATTGAGGATTTGACTTAAATTTTGAGTTAGTGTTTAGGTGGATATTTGTTGATCCAACAAAATATCTTTCTTTATGGAGTATCTATGAAGAAATAAAGGGCTATGAACAAAGTATAGCAATTCTGTATTTGTTTCTTATTTATTCAAAATGTTCAAATAGTGTATCACAGCATGTTTGATTAAAATAACAGGTCAACGGATATGTAAAGTAGTCCAGTTATTGCCTCAACATTCAGGCACCAACACAACAAAACAATAGTAATACATAACAAATCCCTCAAGACCAATGGTCAGGGTAGCGGTTGAAAATCACATGTCCCTAATTCATCCTCCAAATTACCATAGACATCTTGAGGGAGACGCGTCTATTTGGTGACGTCGACTGCGCATGCACTGTTTGTCTCCTCTGTCCATGACTTTGACTTCACTCGAAGTGACGTAGTTGTTTGGAGTAATCCTGGTGCAGCATGGGAACGTAGTTTCTTGATTGCACTGAAACTGAAGCATATTTGCGATTTTACATTAATGCATAGCATTCTACAGAAAGATTTACAGAAAACGTAACATATAAGCTATTGATATTTTATAATGTGTAACTATATTTATGTGTTACATCAATACAGGAATTCTTATATTGTTATATTCTTAGGATTGCATTGAGATTGAAACATATTTGTAATCGTACATTAATACATAATATTCTACAAAAAGATCTACAGGGAAAGTAGCTATAATGTATGAATAGGTATTTTTAAAATATGGGAATTCTTATATTGTCCTATTAGTACCCCGGTCTATTTCAAACGGGTTCTCAACTTACCTGATGTTGTTCATAGAATGCCTTGTATCCACCATCTAAAAGGTATACTTCCGGGTAGAAGAGGAAAGGGTAACGGTCACTGTTCAGCTTTCGGTCAAGGTTTCTCAGGTGTCTCAATCTGTATCAGATGATATACCATTGGTTGAAAGGCTGCATTAACAGATGCTCATTATTTTCGATATCGCTGGAATCTGACATCATGTAGTAAAGTAGAATCCGATCCACGTATATCTGAATATCAACTACTCAAATACTTACAGTTTGGGGCCTCTCTCTGAGGAAAATTCACAATGAAAGATGAGGATGTTCCGTCCAGTGGGGTCATTCCTCTTTAGATTGGTCACCAAATCTGTGATCAAAGCCTGGTTGTGAAGATTCTCCGCACCCTGAAGTGGATATATACTTCAGTATAATATAGTATTTAGATTTACCAACGTTTAAAATATTGATTTTCTGTCATTTCAGATTTGTGCATTGTGTGTAAAAGTACCAAACCAAAATACAAATGTGTCACATAGGTATGGAAGTGGACAGATATTAAGGAGTATTACCTGAATATGACCGCCCTCATATTCGTAGGGGTACCGGCAATCGATGATTTGGTAACTGGTAATGACGTCATCATATTTTCCAGCAAGAAGCTGACTGACTGTTTGTGGAGACACAGACTTGAGATCCTTTGTGTTTGCCTCGTATGGTTGGGAGACTATGAGCCTGAAAAATAATGAAAACTTTCATTACAATGCAGCTTATATGTCTATTGGACTGGCATCACAAAATATTGAAAGTGATTTATCACATTAATTGGGCCAAACTTAAGCTCTTAAACAACTAGCATTAGAAGTGGAAAAATGAACTTTCCACTAACCTGCGAACCATCGCCGATCAGATCTTCTTCGTTTTCCATTTTGTCCACAACAGACTCTCATCACATCTGACGTTACTTCTTCTGTGGGGGTTTTATTGACAATGTCGACTGTCTTCTGTTTCTTGATCTGCCTGGCTAGAACGTATTCATCCTCTTCATTGTCATTGTCACGTGGTCTCTTTCCGTGAAAAGTGACTTCCTTTGTGCCGTAGAAATTGGTTTGCTTTTGAGCCAACGATTGTGGAGACACCTGAGGGGAAAATACATTGCATTTAGATTCTTTAAAGTCTTTGAAAAGCCCATGTTTCCATATTTTAAGAATATAGCCAAACTCAGTCATCAATTCATAGAGTGTACCTCTCCAAATAACTGTCTTACTTTGTACATTAACTTCGACCTCTAATGTATATACAAAACAGGTGTAATATTGTTATTCAGCTAACTCCTCACTGTCACTACACAGATTCAAAGCCGCTATCCCGTGAATCTTCATCATCGAAAACGAGACCTTGGGGCTGGAACCTCAGGTGAACTTGGCCTTCCTTTTCTGAACATTGTAGTGAACTAATAGGCATCTGCACGGCTTTTCTTTTTGTCAAGACAGTTATCTAGCGAATGATGATGTGTCTGCGCCTCCCAGATCTATACCTGTACTAAAACAACATATTTACATAAATAAAGACAATGATTGTTGATCGTTTCATTATCCATTTAACCACATGGTTCATAATGGATGAAAATAGAAGAGCATCGTTTTAATGTTAACGCATTAAGAAGTTGGGTTTGGTGTGAAGTGTTACGAGTCGCTTGTATCCCCTATGGTTATGGAGCTACCTGTAATTGAGGGTGTTAAGGGATTAGCCCGGGTTAAACACCAGGATGGAACATCAAATGTACCAGTAAGCCCATGTTTTGATAACTCCATAATTCAGGCAGTAGTTTTGGTCGGCGGTTGAATGACAACTTAAGAAGAGAAGTTGTATTTGCTTTGGAAGCAATAATTCAATGGGTCTGGGAAGAATAGATTCAGAAATAGCATAAAAAACGCTTCTATAACGACAGCAGTTTTTGGCTCTTCTAAAGCTAAATGTTAACACGAAACTAATAAGAATACAAAACGATTCACTGTGTGACTTAATTCCGTTAACAAAACAACTCAAGAGGTATTGCAATAAGAGGGTTTCTGCAAAGCATAACTCTGATCCACCTAATCTAGATCATCCTAAGAGCCCCTTGACAAACCTGCTTACTTTACACCTCAACCCATCCAGTGGGTAATCCATACAGAAAGTGTGCCCACATTAAACATCTTGTTCCCAAAGTAAATACAAATTTTCCTTAATTGTCATTCAACTGACGACCAAAACTACCTCAATTATGAATTATCAAAACATGGGCTACAGCTACATTTGATGTTCTGCCTGGTGATTAACCCGAGATAATCCCCTAACACCCAGGTAGCTCCATAACTACGGGAGACACAAGCAACCGCACTTTCACAGTAAATGATAGAAGGTGTACTATGTGTAACCTAAATGATATTTTTGACGAATTTCATTATTTATTTATATGTCCCAAATTAGAATTAAAGAGAAAAATATATCCAATGTAATTATATTAGCCCAAATATGTATAAAATGAATATCCTATTTAACACCAAGAAACTAGGAACTTTAAGAAAACTCTCATTTTTGTAAAAATAATTATGGCTTTATTTAAGAAATAATTTCAATAACTAAAATATGCTAGCTCGATGTACATTGCAATCATACCATTTTGTATATACTTTTTATGTTGTATATAAATGTAAATACTATTTATGTACCTCTTATGCTTCACACAGTTCACACCAAGCCCAACTTCTTAATGCGCTAACGTTAAACGATGTTTTCTTTGTCCATTATGAACAGTGGAGGGTTAAATGGATAATGGATAATAAAGTGTTGTGTTTGTTATGCAAATATGTTGTTTTTGTACGGATATATAGATCTGGGAGAGCCCAGCCACAGTATCGTTTCTGACAACAGTCGGAACAGAAAAAGTAAAAGACCAGATACTTATTCCTGCTGAAACTATTTGTTCACTACAATGTTTAGAAAGGAACGTCAGAGTTTACCTGAGGTTTTCCAGCCCCATAGTCTTGTTTTCGGCGACGATGAAGACTCAAGGGATAACGGCTTTGAGTCTGCCTGCAGTGACAGCGAGGTTGGCTGAATAACATATATCGCATCTGTTTTCTATACATATAAGATATATTCACAAAACTCAAGGAAGAGAGTTCTGAAAGTACATGAATGATTGAGATTGACAGTTTTTAAAAAAAATATAGAAGCGTTTTATATGTTTTCTCTTCAGGAGTCTCTACAATCTTTGGTTCCCAAGAAAACCAGTTTCCACGGCATAAGGAAGTCACTTTTCACAGGAAAGAGACCACGTGACAATGGTGACGAAGAAGAGGAACACCTTATAGCCAGGAAGATCAAGAAAGACAAAACTGCCTCTTCTGGCCATGAAAAGATTCAGGTAGAAATAACACCTGCCTTCCCATGCTGCATCAGGATTACTCCAAACAACTACGTCACTTCCGGGTTAAGTCAAAATCTTGGATGGCAGGACAGAAACAGAGCATGCGCTCTCGTCGATTCCAAATGGATGCGTCTCCACTCAAGTTACTGCAGCAGTAAAGGATGAACTGTTAACAAAACAACTGAAACTTGTTGCTGTTGAGCTGTGTTGCTGACGTTGTTGCTATGTTGAATACGTTGTTGATTCTACTGCCCAAGTGTTGCAACAGCGGAGGAGTGATGATATGTTTCGACCTGTTATGTTAGGTCATCAACCATTCTGTGATATTCCTTTGTTCACCCATTATTGTTTCATGAGAATAAACTCCAGACATACACTTTGTTGTCATATGTCATCTCTTGCAAACCTAACATTGTGAATATATATTTGAGCACCCAAACCTCTGAGAAAGCAAATTCCACTGTCATCAACTAAAAACAAGTGGGATATTTACAATATAAAACGCAACATGATCAGACGAAATCTCAAAAAGCAGTGTCATTTGTATGACTCTGATAATATGATATGGATGTGTCCAGGAATCACTGTCAAATATTGATGATACCAGGTGGTCGCGAATAGGTCATCTGACCCACCACTGACTCTCGACACTCGACATTCGACATGCAAAGTCAAGTAAATTGCCAACAATACCAATTTGCAAGCCTTGCAAAACTGATCACATGTTCACAATAACTATAGATAAATTTCAAAAACAGATCACCTTATAGCAACATGGATACATGGTGAGGAAAGGAGTAAACAGTTATCTACAAATCGACCACCGTTTATCAACATACATTGTACTGAGGATTCATGAGTTCTTATCCCATATGGTAGATTCCATATGCATTCAGTGTTTCCTTCAACGTACCCGTTTGACGTGTAAGCCCATTAGCCCAAATAATGATATCACTGACATGAGTTCATTGGCGTATATACAATAATGTAGTTATCCTTTTTGTGAGAAAATACATTTTCATCACTAACATGGTATTAAAATGTCATAGCGTACATATATTTATAGCCGGTATGTGCATGTTTCAACGGGTGCAAGTGTCAGGTTTCCATTTTTTTAGAAAGCAAATTAGTGATGAGAATGTATTGACAAGACCAATATGGAAATCGATGATGACACGGATGGAAATCTGCGAATACCGGTGTTCGTCAGAAAGGAAAGTATATCTTCACTGCTGGTAGAATTGTATAACAAATGTCAGTGTTTATGATGAATAATAATATGTAACGACATACACATATGCATAGCGTGTTTGCATCGTTTCGACAATCTTCTTGGGCCAATATATCATACATTTTATATAGGTTGAACAGCTTGTACTAATTCCTATTTTATCAGAAACCTACATCAGTGTGAAATACATTTTTAGATAATTATATTATTCATAAAATAGATCACTGATGAGATGCCCTGACCTTTGAAACATGTTGCCATATATATTCTAAAATTCCTTTTATGACCTGAACCTCACATGTGTCCTCGTGTTTTTTGTGCGACAGAAATACCTACGCTTGCAATTGTTTGTGACGGAAGGAAAAGATGGACCTTGACACGCCCATCCTTTCGAAAATGTCTGACATCAATATTTGAAAGTTATTCCCAAACTCATCCACACAATAGTCGGAATCCTACTAAGGAATTATCTTCAGTAGAAAGTTCTTATGCTTATAGAAATAAGTTTGTCCGTTATATCTATAGTCGAAAATATCCTGACGGGTACCCATACTTGATCTTTAAATCGGTAAATTAGTGTAAATATATGGTGGATGAGCAATTCATTTCTATTATTTTTCTTTATTATTCTAGTATGTTTGTCACTTAAACAACCATGGTATGAAACACGCAACATATTATCATCACACGCACTGGTGTTTCCCTTTGCCTGGAATACCACTCAAGCGGAGTAAAATCCAGCTTACTTTCACATACATTCAGCCACAAGACTTCCCAGAGAACCCAACTATAACACATGCTATACTTGGGATTACTCTTTCTCACTGCCAACGATAATGGGACAATATATATCACGTTATCTTCGAGCAACCACAACTGTCGAAAAACCACAAGATTCAGGAACAACGTAATAGTTTAACTGTGACACCAAGCATAAGTTTTACAGGAAATTGCACGTAAAACATTTCTGTCTATCACGGCAGGAACTTGTTTATGTCTTTTATAAAGCGGAGATAGAACATGAAACGAATAAGAAACCTTTTTTCCACTGTTATCTAATTTCAATTAACATCCACCCAACCATTAACTCAGTTTCTACAAGCATGAGCCTAATCCAGCTTATCCAGATCATCCTAACAGTCCTTGATAAACCTGCTTACTTTACACTTCCCCAGCCAGTGGGGAATCCATACAGAAAGTGTGTCCACATTAAACATCTTGTTCCTAACGTAAATACAAATTACAAACGTAATAAAAATATGATTTAACCATAGGAAAGGTTAACAGGAAACTACATGGAAACAGTTTTATCTATACTAGGGACAATTCGTTCAGGTCTCTTTTGAAGCTGAAACATAACATCGAACTAATAAGATATGGAAAAAAACATTCCACATTATGGCACAATTTAATTTATATCCATCTAAACATTAACACGGTTTCTGCAAGCAAGCCTAATCCAGCTTATCTAGATCATCCTCACAGCCCCATGATAAACCTGCTATCTTTACACCTTAATCCAGCCATGTGGAATGCATGCAGAAAGTGTGCCCACATTAAAGATCTTGTTTCTAAAATACGTTCAAGTTTTCCTTAATTGTCATTCAACTGACGGATAACACTACCTGCATTCTGTGTTATCAACACATGGGCTACCGGTACATTTGATGTTCTACCTGTCGATTAACCCGGGATAATCCCCTCACACCCTCGTAGAGGTAACTCCATATCTACGGGGAACACAAGCGATTACACTTTCACACCAAGCCCAATTTCTAAATGTGTTGGTGGTTAACAGTGTTTCATAAGCTAGTATGGACAGTGCACGGTTAAATGGATAATGACTCGATTAAAGACTGTTTTCTTTCTTATGAAAATATGTTGTTTTAGTACAGGTATATAAACACGAGAGTACACAGATATTGTTCGTGTCTCCGTGTGCGAAATAAATCTCCAAATCATCATCAGATATTGTGGCATTTGCCGTCAAACAACAAAGGTCAGGGCACCTCATCAGTTGCTTATTTCGTGAAGAATATAAAGAGAGAACTATATTAATATCAGTTTTCAGCAAATGTGTAATGACACTTATGTAAAAATGTGTTTCATATTGATGTACGTTTCTAAAGAAATTAGTATATAGTGTTCAACCTATTAAAAACGTATGCTATATCAGTTTGGCTTTACATATTACTATTCATCATAAAAACTGTCATTTATTATGAAATTCTACGGGCAGATGACCTACACATGTCCATGTACTTGATTTCTGATGAACACACAACATCATCGATGTCCCTTTGTGGGATCAAATTTCAATATTGATCTTGCCTATATATTTTCATCACCTATGTCAGAATATCATTATTTGAACTAGTGTGTTTACATGTCATCAAACCCGTGAAGATCCGGGTTAGATCTGGTCTTCAGTAACCCATGCTTGTCGTAAGAGGCGACTAACGGGATCGGGTGGTTAGGTCTGATTTGGTTGACACATGTCATCGTATCCCAATTGCGTTGGTCGATGCCCATGATGTTGATCACTGGATTGTCTGGTCCAGACTCGATTATTTACATACCACCGCCATATAGCTGGAATATTGCTGAGTGCCTCGTTAAACAACAAACCAACCAACCAACATGTCATCACACGGATAAGATGAAGGAAACACTCATTGCATATGGAATCTGTCACATATGGGATGATAACTCCCATTTCATGAATCCTCAGTACAGCGAATACATTGATATACGTTTGGCAATTTGCAGATAAATGTTTACGCCTTACTTCACCATTGATCGTCCACGTGGCCTTTAGATAATCTGTTTTTGAAATTGATTCATAAATATTGTGAACATGTGATCATTTTTGCAAGGTTTGTAAAATGGTATTGTTGGCAATTGACACGCCTTTGCATGTGTTTGTGTCGAGTGTCAGCGGTGGGTCAGATGGCCTATTCGCGACCACCTGGTATCATCACTATTTGGCAGTGATTCCTAAACACATCCATCATACAACATAATCTTACAAATGACACCGATTTTAGCAGAGATTCTTCTGAACATGGATAGTGTTTTGCCGCGTTTGTATATTGTAAATAATAAAATACGCATTTTCAGAAGGTGAGAGTAAAGTTTGCTTTCTCAGAAGTCATGTTTTAGAATTATACACAGAATTTGCGATTTATAAAACCACATGGGTATAATTTCACGATGTTATGGTTGTAATGGTGACAACCAGGAAATGGCAGATGGCAAGAAAGTGTATGTCTGGAGTTTATTCTCATGAAACAATAATCAATGAACAAAGGAATATCACAGAATGATTGATGACCTTAACATAACAGGTCGAAACATATAATCAGTCTTCTGCTGCTGCAACATGTAGACACCAGAATCAACAACGTATTCAACAACGTCAGCAACAACGTCAGCAACATAGCTCAATAGGCAACAAGTTGCAGTTCTTATGTTAACAGTTCATCTTTTACTGTAGCAGTAACTTGAGTGGAGACGCATCCATTTGGAAACGTTGAGAGCGCATGCTCTGTTTCTGTCCTGCTGTCCGAGACTTTGACTTAACCCGGAAGTGACGTAGTTGTTTGGAGTAATCCTGATGCAGCATAGGAAGGTAGGATCTTGGTTCACACTGACACTAGGAGAAATGATGGCAAAAAACTGTCAGACTCATTTCGAAAAGCAAAATGATAAAACCAATAAAATGTGACAACGGAATATTTGACAGGTTTTGAGGTTTAGTCATCGTCTATGTCTCTATTGCTGCTTTGATGTCAAAACGTATTCCTGAATAACGTTACGTAAACGTATCGTAGTAAGAGAATACTCACAAATAAATACCAAAATAATATGCGATAAGTGTATCAACCAACCTGGTGTTGTTCATAGAAGGCCTTGTATCCACCATCTAACAGGTATACTTCCGGGTAGAGGAGGAAAGGGTAACGGTCACTGTTCAGCTTCCGGTCAAGGTTTCTCAGATGACGCAATCTGTACAAGATGAAGAATGAAAGAATAAATTAAAGTTGTACTAAAGAATATTATTCATAGAGAGTATGAAAACAACAATTATTTTATCAATACTGGTGTCGTTCAGAATAGGTTGCTTCAAGTGATGCAAAATAATACTTACAGCTTAGGGCCTCTCTCTGATGAAAATTCACAATGGAAGACAAGGATGTTCCGCTGAGTGGAATCCACCACCTGAAGACTGGTCACTAAGTTTGAGATCAGAGCCTCGTTGTGAAGGTTCTCCGCACCCTAAAACAAAACAAAAGACCAAATGTAAAGTGGGAAATTACAAAATGTAAAATATCAATATCGATATTTGAACTTAAAATTATATATCTCAACTATTAAAACTAGATTTACTTAATGCATGATGAAGACAGAAGCTTACCTCAATGTGACCTCCTTCATATTCATACGGGTAACGACAGTCGATGATCCTGTACTTGGGAATGACGTCATCATACTCTCCTGCCAGAAGCTGACTGACTGTATGTGGAGAGACAGACTTGAGATCCTTGTGTCTACCTTTTATAGTTTGAAGACTATGGTTCTGGAACAGAGGCAATTTCGGTATTGATTTGCACGTGAAGTTGTTTTCCAGCTACCTCGTCATCTTCAGAATCTTCAAGTATTGTTTTAACTCTCAACATAAAATTATCCTCAGGTGGGATTTCCTTGAATGGAAACTCATATTACCGTAACATTATTTATGATACACATTTTTGCAACTAACCTGTGAGCCATCACCAATAAGATCATCCTCGTTTTGCATTTTTTCTACGGCAGTCTTCATATCTTTGGATATCACCTCAACTTGGGCTTTATCGGTGAATTTGGGTGATCGAAGTTTTTTCATCAGAGAAACAGCTTGCTCTTCATGCTCCTCTGCACGTGATCTCTTCCCAGAGAAGAGAGATCTCCTGGCGCCATGGCAACCATTCCATGTCCTATGATCCAATGCCAGAGGAGATACCTAATAGCAGATAAAGTTTCCATGTACATTGAAATATAATACGGTGGATTGCAATCTGATTGGCTGAAAAACGTTGTTGAATGGAATTGGATTTCTCTTAATACGTTGTTTAATTTGCTAAACTTGAACTGGAAATCTGAAGCTGAAATTATCGGCACCTTTGAATACATGTTACTATGAAAACATTCTGGCTTCGATTTCCCAAATGGACACAAAATATGGAGACCAATAGTTGTGTCTCCTGTCGTGATATTGCTTGAATGTTTCCAAAAGTGGCCCCAAGCCTAACTCACTCCTGCAGTTGTAGCTTTCAGCGTTCATGTTTGGTACTTGTTGAACTTTGATGAACATACCTCATTGTCGCTGCTCAAAGATTCAAAGCCGCTATCATTTGAGTCTTCCTCGTCCGTAAGAGGACTCTTTGGGGTGAAGGCATCTGGCGAGCGCAGGGACACGTCACCAGCAGTTGTTAAATCCTCAAAATCTGAAGATTCCATACAAAACTGAAATAGAAATACAATGAATGTGTATTTGCAAAGTATTTAGTTGTTTTCTGGGCAATATTGGGGTCTGACTCAGTCGACAAATCACAGCATCTATATCGTGGGTTTGAACCCCGTTCCAAGGTATGTCAGTACCATGTCGTGTTTCAACGATGTCAAAAACGTCTAAAATCTGCATTACTTCGGGATTTTCTCCCACAAAAACCTGACGCGGCGAGATGTAACTGAATTACTCAAAGCTGCGTTTAACTCAACTGACTCATGGCAAACGGTAACCTTAATATTCCTAGCATTTACATTTTAAATCGAGTCAACTACCAAATGAATGAACCTGTTATTCTTACCATAAGTTGTCTTCTTGGCATTGTGTAACAGGTTTCTTCGAAGCAGTTCTGTAATGTAAATAAAAGCGTTACGCACTCGTCAGGTATCAGGAGGCGAATGATTCTGCAGTTAAACCCAGCGCTTATATATCTCACTGAAACAACATATTTACACAACAAAGACACCACACGTTGATCGTTTCATTAATTAATTGATCTTATGTTGGATATACAAGATAACGGAACCCAAAGTTAACACTGATATCGTAAAAGCGGAGGTTAACAAGGTAGGCTTGGTGTTAAAGTATCATCGCTTGTGCGTCAAATGGATATTCATCTACCTATACGACGGGTGATGGGGATTATCTCGGTGTAATCAACAGGTAGCACATCAAATGTACCGACAACCCGCATTTGGATAATACAGGGTCCAAATCGTTCTGCGCGTCTGTTGAATTACAATTAAGGACAATTTGTTTTAACTGTCAGAACGAGGTATTTAAGTGGGGTACATTTTCAACGTGGAGTTCCCAGCAGGATTAAAGAGTATATAGTAGTCAGTCTTATCAGAACGTGTTAGGATGATCTGGATTAAGTGGATTATATTCACAGAATATACTTTCCATACTCAAGAAAAAGAATAGGAATGCCTTTGGCTATACTGGATCTTGCACGAACTATGCTAATACATATCTACTTAGACTTTGACTTAAGATTAAATATCTGTAATTTTGTTATTAAACAAGTCATAACAAATTCAACACTGAAATAAATTCGTTTATATACGAAACAGAATGATCATAATTCATCCTCAGGTGTGTTCTGATTCCAGTGATCCCCCTCAAAAGGGGTAAAAGATTAAAAGCCTTATTCTGATGTCACTCGTCGTGATATCAATGTGACCAAAAACGGCGTTAAAGCTTCCTCACTCACATATTGACTCACTTAGAGGGGGCGGTGGGGTAGCCTAATGGTTAAAGCGTTGGCTCGTCACGCCGAAGACTCGGGTTCGAATCCCCACATGGGTACATTGTGTGAAGCCCATTTCTGGTGTCCCCCGCCGTGATGTTGCTGGAATATTGCTAAAAGCGGCGTAAAACCAAACTCAGTCAGTCAGTCAGTCACTTAGAACTTACCAAGGCGCAAATACTTTCGGTTTGTGGCAGACGTTTAACGCGCGGTAAATATAGCCCTGAATTTCACAGTACGGGTCAATTCGGAAATGGAGACGCCGTACTGACACTGAGCGTTCAGGTGGCGCTGCGGTGAGCTGATGTCAGTCTTCTCCTTAATGTATCCCTTCCATCGAGTACCGCTTGCCGTGACTGTAAGGTGAAGGTGTCACTGATTACCTCTAGACAGATGCAACTCAGATCGAAGACAATTATATGGCAACTTTATAGAAATGTGTTTGCTTATTATTTTACTGTTACCCGTTTGACCTTACACAAACACATGAAAACATCTGGTAAATACAAATGCTTTTATTAAAGAGAAATTTAATCGTACTGTTGTAAACTGTATGGCTGTGTGTTTTCTCTCACCAGAAGTGATATGAAAATATTCTTAAATTAATCATGAATGGCAAATGAATATTGTTTGACAGTAATTGAAAATTGAAATAATTCTTGTTACATTTGATAATGTCTATTTAAACGTCACTCATTCCCGCAAATACTTGTAAAATACAGTCTGTGTTTGGGTAATTTGGGTAAAAAAGTGAGTGAATTAATGTTTACATCGCATTTTTAGTTTAAGCGATGAGAACAAGTTATTCTGTTCCTGAGTAAAACGCTCCACAGAAGACTTGGATAAGGAGTAACTGTGCACCACCTACCCTTCCGTGTCTGGAATGTAAATCCCTACCGAGAATATCAAATTTATGGAATTTCAAAAATGATATATCTAAGATACACATGAGAAGTGAAACATTAGTGGAAACTGTATATTTTATTTTTGAAAGTTTAGATTAAGGTTTTAAAACATAAAACACGTGGAAGAATGTATTTGCTGAACAAGAGCACAAAATAACTTAATAATATGATGTTTTCACCTAAAATCCACATATGTTAGAATATAGTGATAGGTACAGTCTCCGTTTCTATACCCAAATTATACTGGGCTACAACCTGACATAATTGAATAACACATTTAACATGTTATCATTGTTGGGTTACATTACAACTTAAAATAACAGACCCGTGAAGATCCGGGTTAGAATTGGTCTTCAGCAACACATGCTTGTCGTAAGAGGCGACTAACAGGATCGGGTGGTCAGGCTCGCTAATCTGGTGACATATATCATCGTATCCTAATTGCGTAGATCAATGTTCATGCATCTTTGAGAGGTATTTTAGAAGTTGTAAAGATGAAGGAAAACCAAGTGATATGGAGAGTCAACTTCTTTATAGCCGTTATAGGTTCTTTATAGGTAGGTGTTAGTACCTACACCGAAACGTCGCTCTCATTGCAATAAAGAAGTTGACTATCCATAGAGCTTGGTTTTCCTTGGTGATCATGCAATTTGATCACTTCATTGTCTGGTCCAGACTAGATATTTACAGATCACCGCCATATAGCTGGAATATTGCTGAGTGTGGAGTTAAACAACAACCAACCAACCAACTTATACTAACTTATAGAGATCTCTGCTAAAGTAGAATCCATTGTCCGCGGCCGGTTTCGACTTCATCGATCATGAGTGTATGGTTTAAATCACTGTCAAAAAGTGATTTTACCAGGTTATGTGGAATACTGAAGGTCACTACGTATACTCTTAAAACAGCAGGGGAACATCATTTTTAATTAACGATTGAAAGAAATGGGAGATATGTCGGAGTCAGTCAATGTTGATAGGATAACACTGAATGTGTTGAGAGGGCATCACCACTTGCACTTCCTTATGACCATAGTTGTTTGTATAGTAATCGCTCTTGAAAGATGATTGGTATGTGAGGTGAAATTTGCATGTGTACGATTTTCATTTTCAAACAAACAAAACCAAAACGGCTAGAAAGAAACACTAACAACTGTGTCATTAATTGTGAACAATTATTGGTCTACGGTGATTTATGACCTTCTTGAAAATCAAGAATGACACCCCATGCACGTGTATGGGACTACTGCGTTGTGCACGTGCATCCCATGCGTTGTGTGTAGGGTGGTGATAAAAATAAATAAGATAAGCTTAGGTTCCCTGATCGTTTTTAAAGAGTATACAAACAGTTACTTTAGTGCAGATGAATATCATTCTCTATATTTCAGTTTAAACCACAACAGCAAGTATTTTGGATAAAATCACAATTTCGGGGGATAAAACTGTTTTGTGAATGTTAAATTGTACATTGGAACCCGATTCACAAAGGACCCACAGGTTTACGACCTGTCGTAAACTAGAGTTTATGCTGATTTACGACGCTAACAACTCCATGCATATAACATATTTAAAGATGATTTCAGGTGGTACTGAAAAAAACCGCGCGAAATCGTAGTTCAAATGGTTCCTCAACTTTCCCCCTGCTCTTGGGGGAATTGAAAGTGGTTTCAACAGCTGGGCTGCGCTCATAGCACATGCGCAGTGAAATAGGTTCGCGGAGCTTGGAAGCGGGTTGTCCGGTGAATATTCGGTGAAGGCTTTGATGTGAGCTATTTTTCTGATGTTTTGTTGATATTTCACAGGCGCGAGCTTTTTATATGTTATGACAGTAGATTACCGATTTAACTGTTTATATAATTTCAGTTGTCTATTTCACCACACGTTCTTCTTACCGAGTCACTTTCTAAGTTCGATACTTAAAAGCAATGTCATTATTTAGCGTTGAAAGAATTTCTAACTGTGATATAGATATGTCGTTGTCACAGACAAAACTCAATGTCTGTTTTATTGGCACCTATGTGTCTGCCTGCCCGTCTGCTAATGACAATATTCAATATTCAATACACAATTGAACTTAACACCTATCAGGCTATACTCCATAAACAAAACGCATTGATTTATGGCCCGAGTTCGGTCTCTGTCACATTATGTAATAATGATTACTGCTGTCATATATGGGATAATTGTACGATTGAACAGGCGATTTTACTGGAAAATTTACACTTAGACGCATTAAGAACTATATACGGTGCGGTTCGTGGCACCAGTCATGATAAAATATACAAGGAAACCAATTATAGCACACTGAATCAAAGACGATATCGCTCTAAACTTATAACTTTCTACAAAATGTATCATCGTCTGACTCCTGATTATCTGAATGATCTTGTACCAGGTAGAGTATTTCAACAAAGCAACTGTAATCTTAGAGATAGTACTTCCATTCAAACTACTAACTGTAGAACGCAAAGATATTCTCAATCATTTTTACCGAGTGCGATTATGTCGTGGAATTCATTGCCCGATGGAGCTGTTAACGCTATTTCCGTGAGGCAGTTTAAAACCATGATAAATCCAACAGAAACTGACAACTACTTTGATTTAAATTTTGGGACTAGATTTTGTCAAATCATCCATTGTCGCCTCAAGCTCGGCTGTAGTGATCTGAACGCAGACAGATATAATCGACATATATCAGAAACAGCTAAGTGTTCATGTGGTCATTATAACGAAGACGTCATTCACTGCCTTTTCAAAATTTAAGAACAACGGTGTATTTTTATATTCAAGGATACGATGTGAAAACTACCTTATACGGTAACGGCGCATTGGATAACTCAACAAACTGTGACATTCTCAACTCATTACACCAGTTCATTTCTAAAAGTAAGCGCTACCAGTGATTATCACCTCTACATATACATGTATATTCAATGCAAGACAAGATTTATATAACTTGATTTTCTGCGGCAGCTCTTTTCGTTGCTAGGCACAACCAACACCATAACCAAATATTTATTATTCAATCATTTTTCTGAGTGTAATTTTGTCTCAGTATTATTCTCTTCTTGTCGGACTATTTCAAATATGTATCCAGCTATATTGGAACCGTGTACTGGAGCGGCGTTTATATAAGCCACTAGGCTTGTTCGCCTATCCAGGTTTCTGCATTGACGGAATAAAAATATGTTTAAACCATTATGTAATAACACAGACAGGCAAGGGTCATACTTGTACACATGACATGTTACGATGTCTGTTGATTGCAAAATGGTATACACAAAAAATGAGCATGTATTTACAAAACCCAACATCTCTATATATACACACACAATGAGCCGTGAGGGCATCTGCAAATGAACCAGCCGTTACACTTGAGTGCACACCCACCCGCTCTGACTGGGTTCGGTATCCCGGCTGCTTCGTTTCTTGGGAAGTAAACCGAAGTACAAAATATTGCACTTTTGATTTGCGATTGTACGCTTATAATTTTGTTTTTAAGTTTTTTCATAACCAGCAATGTATATTATATGTCATGAATAAGTGATAATTGTGTTTTAATTATGTTTGATTTTTTGGTTGCATGTGACCTTTAAAAATGACTCGCAATAAATGTCGAAAATGGATTTTCCTCTATGACGTCAAACGACGACCGAGGGGTCATACACGTCCGTATAAAGATAAGAGGGCATAACCCCGTTAAGCCTAACACTAGGTGATTGTAACTCAGATCATTTGGAGAGAATATGCTGTGGAGTTGGACGTGATGTTTAGTTCACGGTGAACCAAACTATTCCATGATCACACAGTGCCATTTAGAAGGTGGTCAAATGTAACATGTGTTATGTTGGGATTACACTTTCTTAATAAAGTACAGATTCTAGTACTTTTGTTGGATTGAGTCCAATCTGGGATTCGAACCCACACCCTCAGAGTCAGCCATCGCGACTTCCACTGTGGTAGTCGCGGTGGCTGAGCGGGTTAGGCGGCTGACTTTGTGTGCTGGCGATTAGGTGCTTGGGACTCAACCCAACAAAAGTACTAGAATCTGTACTTTACTAAGAAAGTTTAATCCCAAATATAACATGTGTTACAAAATATACCAATACAAAGGTCCCCCAATGTGACTGGATACGTTTTGGCAGTATCACAATTTATAAACAAAAGATGACATCGTATTACATGAGAAAGCACGTTTTGGCTGGCACTATCCAAAATATAAAATGCTTCCCATATTTTCCTGTTTGTGTAGATGTTTTTTGGCTAATATTGCACTATTATTTACAAAAGTACCAGCCATATCTTCAAATGAAATGAAATGACTGAAAGAGTACAACAGTTAGTTGACGTCAATCATGCAGAGTGTGCATAGTGCACAGAGGGTGTGTCCCACTTACTCAGTCGGCTCACTGTTGTTCAGCTCATGGATCAGTGGAGAGATGACTATAGTCTGTTTCAAGTGAACACTCCTCACTGACGAACTCTTAGCCAGTGTTAAGAATGACCGATATCTAACCCAAATGATATGCAATGATATCAGCCACAACACTGACCATTGCAAAATGGACAATATTATCATATTAATTGTTCCAAATGCTCATGACTGCGGGCGTTTGATATATTTTTAAGTATGGACCTAAGACTACGGAAGGTAGCAGTCTGAGAATTGTTGTGTTGTGTGGCTGGAACTATTAGTAGTTCAAGAAATGATCACAACCATATCTGAGATATTTTTCGTGAAGAATTCTCAGCCAACCTTAAGACCACGAAAATGATGATAATCTGTGACTCCCTTGAACACAGATGCTGGATGTAAGGTTCCTACCATCTACATCACTGACTGGACTATATCTTACCGAAACAGACTATAGCCGAAGCCCCTACTTTGTAGTCGAAGCATCCAGGCTGAGTTATTACTCTACATCATCTCGTAAAGTGGGACATCTCATTGTGCTGGCTCAATGTCTGACGAAGACGTAACGTGAAACAATCCCAGATCGCTTAAGTGAGCAACTATCCGAGCAAGGTGAGTCTAATTTATACGTGTCGACATTTGATGACATTTTGTTAAATATTGGGATAACGTCAAATTGTACTTCTCTGCAACTGAGATAGGTGACACATGATCATTCTCTGTCTGCCTGTCTCTCTACCCCCCTTCTTCTCTCTGTCTCCCCCCCCCCCTCTCTGTATGTGTGTTTGCGTTGAGAAATTGTTTCATACCTGCACATCTATCATTAATGAAATAAGTAAGTACCTATATTACACCACACTGTCATCAACACATAACACTTGATAACCAACAATCAAAGGAAGAGGACGGTTAGAGGCAGAAGTTTATAATTCGACCAAACACTAACTACACGGATAAGTCATGCTAGGATTTTTTTCAACCCCTATTTTCTAAAAAAGACCCTCGCGTTTTGAAATTGTAAACTGACCTGCACATTTCCTCTATTTAAGGACACATTGTCACGTTTACCGCTAGAGCATGTCGTCATCTAACAGTATATTATAACATGTTGCTAATATGCTGGTTGACTTGCGTCGATTCCATTCGTTTCGTCTATCCGCGATGAACAAAATAGGTTACAGTCAGTTTAATGCCATTTGACTGGACTTCAAAAGATCTTAAGGTATATATGTGAGCTGTATTGTCAGATTTGCATTCAAGATTATTTACTAGGACAGGGTTTTCAACTGTTTTGATGCGTGGAGAAACGCCGCATTTGCACAGGTTATAATTATACAGAACAAGAACGGCCTCCTACCTGATCAGTTTTCGAACTTGGACATCTTCTAGTATACTTGTCTTATGAACCTTTGGGGACGGTAAAGTAGCCTATTGGTCCAAGCGTTCTTTTGTCACGCCGAAAGCTCGGGTTCGATTCCCACATGGGTGAAGCCCATTTCTGGTGTCCCCACCCTCGGCAATTGGTGGAATAATGCTAAAAGACATATTCATTCACTCACTGTGAACCTTAGTGCCTTTTAATCAAAGTTGGGCGTGCATGAAGGTAACAAAGGTGGATGTGTCATTACAATACACATTTTTTAATTGTTTGCTAGAAATAAATATGTCTAGCCGAGCGGAAGAAAGTTGAAAGCTGGCTTCCGGCTACAACTGGCCATGTTTGATGACCAAGTGGTAACTGCAGCAGACGTCAACAGATTGTCCACCATGAAGACCCGTGGAGTGCGAGATGACGATATATATCTGTGCACCTACCCTAAATCAGGCAAGATCCGGGTTAGAATTGTTCTTCAGTAACCCGTGCTTGTCGTAAGAGGCGACTAACTTGATCGGGTGGTCAGGCTCGCTGACTTGGTTGTATTGCTGAGTTCAAGTAATAATATGTTTGGTCAAGATTGTGAAGGTATATTTCATCGGTATTTGCATTCGAGCCGTTTTATCCCTTTGTAAATAATTATTAAGAAGGTAGAATCAGCCCAAGTCGCTGTCATAGATGTATTGTAAAATACTCTACATGGTAGATATTAGAAATTAGAGTGAAATTAAAGAACTGCACACCTTCTCTTGGCAGGCTCCCACTGGACATGGGAAGTTGTCAACATGATTATATCAGGAGAAGCCAAGTACGCTAAACACTGGCTGCGTGGTTCATCCATTGACATGGGAATGGAAGAGGATTTTGACAACATGCCTTCACCAAGAGTATTGCAGTCCCATTATAGACCTAGGTCAGTGTGACGTTCATAGATAATAAACCTGGGTAAGTGTAACGTAGATGAATACATGGACTTAGGTACGTGTAACGTAGATGAATATATAGACCTAGGTATGTGTAACGTAGATGCATATAGACCTAGGTACGTGTAACGTAGATGAATACATGGACCTAGGTAAGTGTAACGTAGAGGAATATATAGACCTAGGTACGTGTAACGTAGAAAAAAACATGGACCTAGGTAAGTGTAGAGTAGATGAATATATGGACTTAGGTACGTGTAAAGTAGATGAATATATAGACCTAGGTACGTGTAACGTAGATGAATACATGGACCTAGGTAAGTGTAGAGGAGATGAATACTTGGACCTAGGTAAGTGTAACGTAGATGAATATATAGACCTAGGTAAGTGTAACGTAGATAAATACATAGACTTAGGTAAGTGTAGAGGAGATGAATACATGGACCTAGGTAAGTGTAACGTAGATAAATATATATACCTAGGTAAGTGTAACGTAGATAAATACATGGACTTAGGTAAGTGTAGAGTAGATGTATACATGGACCTAGGTACGTGTAACGTAGATGAATACATGGACTTAGGTAAGTGTAACGTAGATGAATACATGGACCTAGGTAAGTGTAACGTAGATGAATACATGGACCTAGGTGAGTGTAGAGTAGATGAATATATGGACTTAGGTACCTGTAAAGTAGTTGAATACATGGACCTAGGTACGTGTAACGTAGACGAATACATGGACTTAGGTACGTGTAAAGTAGATGAATACATGGACCTAGGTACGTGTAACGTAGACGAATACATGGACTTAGGTACGTGTAAAGTAGATGATGATATGGACCTAGGTACGTTTAACGAAGAAGAATATACAGACCTGGGTAAGTGTAACGTTATGTACAACCCTATGCCGGTGTGGACATGACACCCTTACAAACTGAATCCGGGTTTATCCCTCGTCAAGCAGGTTTGAATTGTGCATTATCAGTGTATGCTATAAACTATTTTACTTCTTTTCTTCTTCTGCCATAATGAGATGCTGATGATTAAATATTTTCAGTATTTTGCCAAGACAAGTGTGGCAACGAAAGTGTCGTGTCATCAATGTTCAGAGAAACCCGAAAGATGTTGCAGTATCCTTCTTCATGAATCTCACGCATCAGGATTGGATGGAGAACACCAAGGTTCCGTCTTTCACTGGTTCCTGGGACAAATTCCTAGATGCCTTCATTAAAGGAAACTGTAAGTACCAAACTCCGCAAAACACCACACCACATCACACCATATCAAACCACACCACACAATACCACACCACACCACACCACAACTCATCACAGAAGACCACACCACACCACACCTCATCACACCATATCAAACCACACCACACAATACCACACCACACCGCACAACACCACACCGCACCGCACAACACAACACAACACCATATCACATTACACCATACCACACAATATCAGCTTAACGCCACGCCACACACAAACACACACAAACACACACGTTCAGTATTGAACAGTTATAATGGACAAATGATACGAACAAACTGGAATTCTGGACATTACGCCACAATACCAGACGAGAACAGATTATCCCCGCAGACAAAGGCATTCTGCACAGTCATACGGTAGCCATCGTTGATCAGACAGGTTCATCGCACTTTGGCCGATACAGGGTTACCTCCCTTAGTCTTGTAAACATCATCCCGTCGTCAAAATTAAATCATATGACAAGGTGTAAATTGTCTCTGACAATTATTAATGACAAACAAACACCCACAAACACACTCACTCACACACTGTAATCCAGTTACATTGCACTTGACAATCAGCTGTATCATGGCAGCCAATTAGTCCCAATATGTCCGTTTCAGTACTGTATGACTCAGTGTTTGATCACATGCTGGCCTGGAACAGGTTCCCACAAGACTACCCGGAAGTGCCCTTTCTTCAAGTACAGTTTGAAGATTTGAAGAGAGTGAGTATCTGACTTTCTGAGTGAGTGAGTGAGTGAGTGAGTGAGTATCTGTGTTTGTACATAAACAACTCATCGTGTGTATATACATGTCACTGATTACAAATGTGAATGAGTATATGTGTTAGTGAGTCACATTTCAATAAAGTAATAATAGTAATTAAGGTGTTCTGTCCTCTATCTGTGCAAATGTGTGCGCGTGTGTGTGTGCGTGTGCGTGCGTTTGCGCGCGTGTGTGTGCGTGTGCGTGTGTGTGTATGCGTGTGTGTGCGTGTGTGCCTCACTGCATATCGCCATACAAAGTAAACATCCTGTTTTCTTTGCAGATACATATCTATTCAAATACAGAATTTGCGTCGGATTTAGTCAGTCTTCATAAATACAAACAATTATTTGACCTTGTCATTACAACGTAATGTTCCGTCTTTTGTCAGAATAATGTGAAGGAAGTAAAGCGCCTTGCTGAGTTCCTCTGTCGTCCTCTCTCTGACAAGGTTTGCGAAGAAATTGCTGACGCGTGCAGCTTTTCTAATCTCAAACAAGCTTCCGTGCATAAGGATCCAACGCACCTTAACCGGTGGATAGATGGGTCATCTGGAGTCTTCAGAACAGGTATGGTGATTCTGGACGTTGAGGAATAGGTAATGGTCATTCCTACCTTCCAGGACATTGTAACAGCCATACATAAAGAGGCTGGCGATTTTTGACATAAATAACGGATACTTAATTTGGGTTGGGAAGTCTAGTTGTTAAATCGTTATCTCCTAATGCGAGATACCAGGGTTCTATTCCACACACGGGCACAATGTGTGAAGACCATTTCTGGTTAAACTCGCCGTGATATTGCTGGAATATAACTAAAAGCGGGATAAAAACTCACTCACTCAGTCACTGATATTTACTTACTTATTTCTTTTCTCAGGTGAAACAGGTGGCTGGAAGCATTGGTTCACCGTTGCTCAGAGTGAAAAATTCGACAGAATGTATGAACAAAAGTATCATCGTCCATTTCCCTATTGAAATGAATTCAAATTTACATTCGCCTGTAGGATTAGTCCATTTTCTCTCAAAACAGGCTTTGTCATCACGTGACTTAGAAAGAAGAAAGAGTGAAAAACACATCTTGAACCGGGATCAAAGTTATTTGATCTCCTCAGCCTATCACCACCTAATTAAAGATCACCAGTAATCCACCCATACCTCGTCCAATTGGTTTCTATGCTCCCTTTTGTGTATTGTAATCACAACCAATCAATGTGTACATCAACCTACTCTCTTCAACTCACATTACCATCTCAGTGTACATCAACTCTTCTATGGTATAAACTCATTCTGCATATTGTTTTAATCGCTATCACTCTGTACATCAACCTACTCTGCTCAAATCACTAATTAGCAATCCAATGTATATCAACCTTGTCAATTGTATATACACACTATGCATATATTCTCCATGTTACAACTCTTTGTATCCTTGCTTGATAACGGTGTTAGTACCTACACCGAAACGTCACACCATTGCAATAAAGAAGTTGACTATCCATATAACTTGGTTTCCTTCATCTATACAACTTCAAAAATGAAGAAGAAAGAGTGTTGATATTGATTATGTACAGGACCCCGTTCCTCAAAGCGATCGTAGCGCTACGACTGTCGTAAGTCTATGTTAAAGTATTGGAGTTACGATTATCTTAGGGTTACGACTGTCGTAAGTCTATGTTAAAGTATGGGAGTTACGATTATCTTAGGGTTACGACTGTCGTAAGTCTATGTTAAAGTATGGGAGTTACGATTATCATAGGGTTACGACTGTCGTAAGTCTATGTTAAAGTATGGGAGTTACGATTATCTTAGGGTTACGACTGTCGTAAGTCTATGTTAAAGTATGGGAGTTACGATTATCTTAGCGCTACGATCGCTTTGTGGAACGGGGCCCTGGACATTACGCCACAATACCAGACGAGAACAGATTATCCCCGCAGACAAAGGCATTCTGCACAGTCATACGGTAGCCATCGTTGATCAGACAGGTTCATCGCACTTTGGCCGATACAGGGTTACCTCCCTTAGTCTTGTAAACATCATCCCGTCGTCAAAATTAAATCATATGACAAGGTGTAAATTGTCTCTGAAAATTATTAATGACAAACAAACACCCACAAACACACTCACTCACACACTGTAATCCAATTTTATTGCACTTGACAATCAGCTGTATCATGGCAGCCAATTAGTCCCAATATGTCCATTTCAGTACTGTATGACTCAGTGTTTGATCACATGCTGGCCTGGAACAGGTTCCCACAAGACTACCCGGAAGTGCCCTTTCTTCAAGTACAGTTTGAAGATTTGAAGAGAGTGAGTATCCGACTTTCTGAGTGAGTGAGTGAGTGAGTGAGTATCTGTGTTTGTACATAAACATCTCATCGTGTGTATGTATATGTTCGTGTTTATTTCTATTTTACATGAATATACATGTCACTGATCACAAATGTGAATGAGTATGTGTTAGTGAGTCACATTTCAATAAAGTAATAATAGTAATTAGGGTGTTCTGTTCTCTATCTGTGCACATGTGTGTGCGTGCGTTTGCGCTTGTGTGTGTGCGTGTGCGTGTGCGTGTGTGTGTGTGTGCGTGTGTGTGCCTCACTGCATATCGCCATACAAAGTAAACATCCTGTTTTCTTTGCATATACATATCTATTGAAATACAGAATTTGCGTCGGATTTAGTCAGTCTTCATAAATACAAACAATTATTTGACCTTGTCATTACAACGTAATGTTCCGTCTTTTGTCAGAATAATGTGAAGGAAGTAAAGCGCCTTGCTGAGTTCCTCTGTCGTCCTCTCTCTGACAAGGTTTGCGAAGAAATTGCTGACGCGTGCCGCTTTTCTAATCTCAAACAAGCTTCCGTGCATAAGGATCCAACGCACCTTAACCGGTGGATACATGGGTCATCTGGAGTCTTCAGAACAGGTATGGTGATTCTGGACATTGAGGAATACGTAATGGTCATTCCTACCTTCCAGGACATTGTAACAGCCAGACATAAAGAGGCTGGCGATTTTTGACATAAATAACGGATACTTAATTTGGGTTGGGAAGTCTAGTTGTTAAATCGTTATCTCCTAATGCGAGATACCAGGGTTCTATTCCACACACGGGCACAATGTGTGAAGACCATTTCTGGTTAAACTCGCCGTGATATTGCTGGAATATAACTAAAAGCGGGATAAAAACTCACTCACTCAGTCACTGATATTTACTTACTTATTTCTTTTCTCAGGTGAAACAGGTGGCTGGAAGCATTGGTTCACTGTTGCTCAGAGTGAAAAATTCGACAGAATGTATGAACAAAAGTATCATCGTCCATTTCCCTATTGAAATGAATTCAAATTTACATTCGCGTGTAGGATTAGTCCATTTTCTCTCAAAACAGGCTTTGTCATCACGTGACTTAGAAAGAAGAAAGAGTGAAAAAACACATCTTGAACCGGGATCAAAGTTATTTGATCTCCTCAGCCTATCACCACCTAATTAAAGATCACCAGTAATCCACCCATACCTCGTCCAATTGGTTTCTATGCTCCCTTTTGTGTATTGTAATCACAACCAATCAATGTGTACATCAACCTACTCTCTTCAACTCACATTACCATCTCAGTGTACATCAACTCTTCTATGGTATAAACTCATTCTGCATATTGTTTTAATCGCTATCACTCTGTACATCAACCTACTCTGCTCAAATCACTAATTAGCAATCCAATGTATATCAACCTTGTCAATTGTATATACACACTATGCATATATTCTCCATGTTACAACTCTTTGTATCACTTGCTTGATAACGGTGTTAGTACCTACACCGAAACGTCACACCCATTGCAATAAAGAAGTTGACTATCCGTATAACTTGGTTTTCCTTCATCTATACAACTTCAAAAATGAAGAAGAAAGAGTGTTGATATTGATTATGTACAGGACCCCGTTCCTCAAAGCGATCGTAGCGCTACGACTGTCGTAAGTCTATGTTAAAGTATTGGAGTTACGATTATCTTAGGGTTACGACTGTCGTAAGTCTATGTTAAAGTATGGGAGTTACGATTATCTTAGGGTTACGACTGTCGTAAGTCTATGTTAAAGTATGGGAGTTACGATTATCATAGGGTTACGACTGTCGTAAGTCTATGTTAAAGTATGGGAGTTACGATTATCTTAGCGCTACGATCGCTTTGTGGAACGGGGCTCAGGACCATAATCCTGTTCATTTCGGGAGTGTCCTGATTGGTCAACGTGTCTGTAACTTTCGACGACTAAAGTCTTGTACCAACTTGAAGTAAACACTCAATTAAACTGTTTGATGACCATTTGGAGAGTAAAGGAAGTGATATCATTATAAGCTTGACAACTTTGTAAGAAACATCGAAAGCTCGATCTATGCAATAAACAAGAAGTTGTTATCTGTAAAGTCGTATGCTTCTGTCCAAGAGCGTTCGTTGTGGTACTCTCGGATAGTAGTTCAAGAGGCGGATGACAAAAGTCAGCAGTATAGTTGAAGACAGCAGCAGCCATGTTTATTATGGTTGGGGAATAATGGTAGAAATGGTACATAAGATGGAAATCACGTGACAGAACGCACATCGGGACCGAGTGGCCAATGTTCCCGATGTGGAGACCCGCTCTGTCACTTACACACATTCAGAAGTCGGACGGCGATTCTTCATCGTCGACGGCCTTGGCCGACGCCCCGACTAGCCGCACAGTCCGTCCGCTTCGGTGGATGATGTGGGCCCGTTTCCTCGCCTCGTTTCTAACTGGTCTCCCTGCTTGGTCTCCCTGACTGACCATGTGAGTCCAGTTTTATGCATAGGGACATTACGCCACGTTGTGCAAGGTCACTGACCTGTGCACATGTACATATATAAGATCCGCCGACGTGGGGAGATGTTAATTGACATCTACTGATGGCATTGAAGATTAAGGGTCCTGCCCTGAGGGGGGTTTATGATAAAAGGGCTACACCGAATGATTGCTGAATACATTAAACAGACAAAGGGGATAGAATTTCGGTGCACTTTGGATATATATGGAAACAATTATGTTTTTTGAACGTATGAAGTTTTACAGAAACTTATTGAAATGGTTTACTCTATGACACTTCGTTATACATTTTCCAGATTTCATACAACATGAACAGAGTGCAACAGAGAACTTGGACTAACAGATTATCTGTCCGTCGGGGAAAATACCCAAAGTCCACATGACGTACATAATACGTTCACACCGGCCGATAATCCGATAATTCCTTGAAACTCTTAGGCTTTGGTGGATGCATGCATCCATCCTTGCTCTACGCAGGCATCTACTGACTGGAACCTTTACCATATCAACAAAGATGATATAGATGAATTTAACGATGCTGGATGTGATGCGTTTCCACCGTACTATTAACACCATACTCTTCTAATAGAATGTTGCAACACACATACACACACATGCACACACGTTCAGCTCTGAAAATTGAATACGGACAAATGGTACGAATAAACAGGGATCTTGGACATTACACCATCAAAACCAAACGAGAGCAGAATGTCCTCACAGGTACAGGGGGCGGTGGGGTAACCTAGTGGATAAAGCGTTCGCGCGTTACGCCGTAGACTCGGGTTCGATTCCCCTGCACTGTGTGAAGTCCATTTCTGACGTTCCCCGCCGTGATATTGCTTGAATATTGTTAAAAGCAGCGTAAAACCAAATTCACTCTCTCACTCTTATAATTATGATGATTTGGAGATGCGCTTTCCGACATGAACAGGGTGGATTCTCGTCTCCGTTGGTGTATCTACACCGTTATGTGACAGCCATCTGCAGCAGAACTGGGTTTCACTGACTCATGATGATGTTTTGAATACACGTTTAGATTAAAGTGGTCAAATGTAACACATGTTATATATAACATGCGTCATATATATATGCTGAACATCATTGAAAACGCACCAGTCTAAAATTGTCCAT